AACAAGGTAACTCGAGTTCAGGTGAGGGGTTCTCCAAGGGATGATGGGATGTTTTACTCAGATCCAGCAATGAAGGCCTTGACTACTCTCCCCATGCCTAGTATGCCCAGCAACCCAACTCATGAATATGCCCCCAGCAGTACTAATTCAACTCCTCCCCTGAGTAGCTTCTGTAACCTAGACTCTGGCAATCCCAACATAATGATGACAGATAACCTGTTGAATGATTCAAGCATGGCGTTAGATCCTGTTGATGACTTAAAGGCCATGCCTAGGGATCACTTCAATAATTTAGTCATGATTGAGTCAGATGATCCAATTGCAGCACTTAATGCAGGAGATAATCCATACATAATGTCTGATGCCTTCGGGAACCAAATTGCAACAATGGATATTAATCTGTCAAATGATCCAAATATCGGGCCTAATGAGCTTTTTAATCCCAGTACTATGCCTCATGCACCAAATGATCCAATTAGCACAACATCCAATGCTCTAAATATGATACGTATTATGCCAGATGATTCAAATCTAGACTCAGTATTTGATGGCTTCACTCTAGAGATGCTGTTTGCGGATCCATTGGATGATGAGAACTTCATTGTGGACAATCCAAATGAGGTGGCTAACGGTGATAATCCGAAAAAAATACCGCCTCCTCTTGCAGGGAATGTTCTAGGAAGCGGCCAAGGATTTTAATGACTAAGTTTGTTGATTATCTTGAAATGAATCAAGGGCTAAATTGAAGAGTTTCAGTATCGTGTCTTTTGTTTTTGTTTGTCTTGTCTTTCAAATAATGATTTGGGAATTTGGGATTTCAATTGGCTTGAGTTTTGTATTTGCTTACTTTCAGGTGGTGTTCTTATATGTGCGTGTGTGTGTGTGTTTTTTTTTTCTTTATAAATATTGCCCTTATTAGTCTTGGATCGAGTTAATAAGTATATGTGTGTTTCATGAGTGTTGTTTATTTTACATTCTTGTTAAGTACAATTCTGCAAATCTTTAAAAATATTTAATCTTTATAATCACCCTATAAAGTACATTTATATGATAGTTCCGTCTCTTTATATATATGTGTGTATGTATGTGTATGTGTATATATGTATATACAGTAGTCACTTATCTCACATTTATTATAAACTATATCTTGAGAGATTTAAAAGAGTTTAGAATTTGGTATCAAGACACTCGAGTATATGAAAATATTAATGCTCTTTAAGTACGTAATAAATTTATTATTTTTAGAAAGTTAATTATTACATTATATATAAATATATGTACATGTATATCTATGACTTTGAAGAAAAAAGGTAAAAGATTATTCCGCATACTCATTTCGCTTCCCTATTCCATTATATAGAAATATATAAATCTGTTGGTATATATTTAATTTGGTAGCATGCTTAAGAGTTTGTATAATTTTAACTTGTATTTAATTTAAATTACAATACAAATACCACATATCTGAATTTGAAAAGAGTTATGATTCCAAATCAAATTCAAATTATAGTTTTTAAAAATCTTTAATATGAGTTTGGATTTTGTGATTGTATTAAAAATTCAGGATTCACTGATACAATGTAAAATAATTCAATTGATGTTTAGTCTCAATATCCGAATGTTAAAATGAGAATGCTTTTGTTATTATTAAAAAATATGTAAACAATTTATTATGAAAAATTATATCTGTCATTCTCATATATATTAGTTTCAATATAGATATTCAAAAGGACAATATAGTATTCTCATCACAGTTAAATGTAATAAATTATATGATAGATATAATTTGTAATGTATATATTTTTTTAAAAAAAATTATAAACTATCCAAAATGCAACAGATTGAAAGATCGATCATTCTCTTAAATATATTATCTTCAAATTTTAATATTCAAAATAATAAATAATGTGAAAGAGGTTATAAACTATTTAATTCGTCAGGATCTATTATATTTTCAAAAAGAATTATAATGAATGACATACTAATAGTTGAATAAGATCATCTTGACGACCGTGATAAGAACAAATTTTTTTTTTTTAATAGAAAATCATTAAATGAACTATGAATATGGAAAATACATTAAAGGGAATTTAGGTTCAACATGCTTGTGTAAACTTTCTATTTTTATATTCCAAGATCGCCGCGCTCATATGATCATTGACGGACGAAGAATAAGTTTTTTCCTTGAGATGTAAGCAAATCAAAATTCATAAATGAATGTTTAACTATGTACTAGTAATAAAGGTAAAGAATTCTTGATAGTATCATAAATTTAAGTTTTGGATTATGTCAAGATATTCCTTACCTTATATTTCAATGAAAAAAGGATTGTAGCCAGAAACGTAAATGCATAAAAGTTAAGTAAATCCACTTAACTCAACTTGGATAGCCTCAAGTGGTACCTCCAAACCTTATAAATACCTTGCGTAGTTTACAATCATCAATTGCAATAATAGTATACTCACATCCTCTCATCATAATCTCCATTATCTTCTTCTCAATTTGTCGAGGTTATCTTTTGTTATTTTTAATTTTAGCAATGGCAGATGAGGGGACATCAACTAAAAGCAAAGGTCGTCAAAAGATCGAGTCAAAAAAGATGGAAAATGAAGCCAGTCTCCAAGTTACCTTCTCAAAACATCGAAGTAGCCTTTTTAAGAAGGTGAGTGAACTTTGCACTCTTTGTAGACCAGATGTTGGCCTTACTGTTTTCTCCCCTGGAAATAGGGCCTTCGGCTATGGCAATCCTAATATCGATATTGTGATTGATCGTTTTCTTAGTATTGATGTTCGTCCAGCTCGAGATCCTGACAACGACAATGATACTCAACAAATAATCAGTAGGATCACTGAGGTGTTAGCAACTTATTTGTCATCTTTTTTTTATAATATCCATTTATGATAATCTAAAAATTATCATGAGTCACTAATACTTAAATCTATGACGTTACGTGATATATTTTGAATTTTTTGTTGGACTTTCAAATCTTTAGCCTAATTGCTTAACTAATACTGCAAATACATGAATATGTGTATATGATAACAGGCTCAAGACAAGGAGCAGGCAGCAAGGAAGCGAGGTAAAGAGCTCAAACAAAGAAGAAAAGGCTTGATGAAAGAGCTTTGGCATACGCGTTCAATGGACAAATTCAACCTGGAAGAGCTTGAAGTTTTAGATGCTGGTATGAAGGCCTTGTGGAATGATGTTGCCGAACTTGCAAAGAAGCTAAAGAAGGAACAAGGTAACTCGAGTTCAGCTGAGGGTTCTCCAAGGGATGACAGGATGTTTTACTCAGATCCAGCAATGAAGGCCTTGAATACTCTCCCCATGCCTAGTATGCCCAGCAACCCAACTCATGAATATACCCCCAGCAGTACTAATTCAACTCCTCCCCTGAGTAGCTTCTGTAACCTAGACTCTGGCAATCCCAAAATAATGATGATGGATAACCCGTTGAATGATTCAAGCATGGCGTTAGATCCTGTTGATGACTTAAAGGCCATGCCTAGGGATCTCTTCAATAATTTAGTCATGATTGAGTCAGATGATCCAATTGCAGCACTTAATGCAGGAGATAATCCAGACATAATGTCTGATGCCTTCGGGAACCAAATTGCAACAATGGATATTAATCTGTCAAATGATCCAAATATCGGGCCTAATGAGTTTTTTAATCCGAGTACTATGCCTCATGCACCAAATGATCCAATTAGCACAACATCCAATCCTCTAAATATGATACGTATTGTGCCAGATGATTCAAATCTAAACTCAGTATTTGATGGCTTCACTCTAGAGATGCTGTTTGCGGATCCATTGGATGATGAGAACTTCATTGTGGACAATCCAAATGAGGTGGCTAACGGTGATAATCCGAAAACAATGCCGCCTCCTCTTGCAGGGAATGTTCTAGGAAGCGGCCAAGGAATTTAATGACTAAGTTTGTTGATTATCTTGAAATGAATCAAGGGCTAGATTGAAGAGTTTCAGTATCGTGCCTTTTGTTTTTGTTTGTCTTGTCTTTCAAATAATGATTTGGGAATTTGGGATTTCAATTGGCTTGAGTTTTGTATTTTCTTACTTTCAGGTGGTGTTTTTGTGTGTGCGTGTGTGCGTGTTTTTTTTTTCTTTATAATTGTTGTCGTTGCTAGTCTTGGATCGAGTTAATAAGTATATGTGTGTTTCATGAGTGTTGTTTATTTTACATTCTTGTTAAGTACAATTCCGCAAATCTTTAAAAATATTTAATCTTTTATAATCACCCTATAAAGTACATTTATATGATAGTTCCGTCTCTTAATATATGTGTGTGTATGTATGTGTATGTATATATATGTATATACAGTAGTCACTTATCTCGCATTTATTGTAAACTATATCTCGAGAGATTTAAAAGAGTTTAGATTTGGTATCAACACACTCGAGCATACGCAGGTTCTTGAAAATCATCCATGAAATATTTATTTATTTACCGATCTACTGTTAAAACAGATGTATGGTGCGTAATGGCCTGTAATAATCCAATGGAAAAAAAGAATATATAGCTTTGTGGAGAAGATATATAAGTGGGAATATATATAAGATCAACTTCGAAAGTAAACACAATTAACTTATTCTTATTTAACAAAAATTTTA